GTAGAGACATGGTGAAACCCTGTCTCTACTAAAAATACAAAAAATTAGCTGGGCATGGTGGCACGTGCCTGTAATCCCAGCTACTCAGGAAGCTGAGGCAGGAGAATTGCCTGAACACAGGAGGCGGAGGTTGCGGTGAGCCGAGATCGCGCCATTGCACTCCAGCCTGGGTAACATGAGTGAAACTCCGTCTCAAAAAAAAAAAAATAAAATAAATAAATAAATAAATAAATAAAACTGAAGAAAGACATTAATCTTCAAAAGTGAAAGGTCATTCCAAGTGTGTAGCAGAACAAACCACCATATAATAAAAACAAATCATAATTACATTCCAAGGACATGTCAAAATATGAAAAAATGAAGAAAAATTTATATTAGTTACATGGGAAAAGGAACTATTTATAAAGAAAGATTCTGATAAAAACCACAGTTCTCAGCAACAAAAGTGGAGTCAAGAGGTTAATGAAACATTATTTTCAAAGTGCTAAGATCAGGTAACTCTGAACCTAGAATTCTATACCCAGCCAAATTGTCAATCAAAATTGAGAATAAACTATGTTTTTATATATAAAATCTTTCCAAACTTTCCCATGTACAGATCCTCAGAGAATGACTAACAGAATATAAATTATAGAATTATATGAATTATATATTATAGAAATTATAGAATCAAAATTTTAAAGGAAATTAAGAAAGAAATTGTGTAAGTCAAAATGTAACAGTTGAACAGAGTCATTAGGGAAAGCTGTTAGTAAGTCTAAATAAGTATGGGTTAAAAAATGATAAAACAAGATCAAGGTAATATTCCAAACATTAATATAGGACGTTAATATAGGGGAAATTAATATGGGGAAATATAAAAGGATAATTTGGTGTGTGTTTGAATTTTATTTTTATTTTTTGCATTTTTAAATTATACTTTAAGTTCTGGAATACAAGTGCAGAATGTGCAGGATTGTTACATAGATATATGTGTGCCATGGTGGTTTGTTGCACCCATCAACCTGTGATCTACATTAGATATTTCTTCTAATGCTATCCCTCCCCTAATCCTCCAACCCCCGGCAGGTACTGGTGTGTGATGTTCCCCTCCCTGTGTCCATGTGTTCCCATTGTTCAACTCCCACTAATGAGAGAACAAGCAGTGTTTGATTTTCTGTTCTTGTGTTAGTTTGCTGAGAATGATGGTTTCCAGCTTCATTCATGTCCCTGCAAAGGGCATAAACTAACTCAAAGGATAATTTTTAAATGGTGCTAAGAATATTGTTTCCATGAAGGGAGAATATAGCTATTGATTTACTAATTTAAGGTAAACAAATATGAATGAAATAAAATTATTTATTGAAAGATAAGGACTGACCAGGGCTGTTGGCTTATGTCTACAATCCCAGCACTTTGGGAGGCTGTGGTGGGAGAACTGCTTGCACCCAGGAGTTTGAGGCTACTGTGAACTATGATCACTCCACTGCACTCCAGCTGGGGCAACAGAGGGAAGCTCTGTCTCAAACAAATAAAAAAAAAAAGATAAATACTGACAGTAATACTAACAACTCAACAAAAAGCACGTATGATAAGTGTGGTCTTAGACAAAATATGATTCAAGGCAAAAACCATTTTGACGAACCAAGGAAAGCATATCAGGCAAGGTTACAGTGTGGAACATTCAAGTGGTTAATTGAAGAACACTGAATGTTAATGAATGAACTGTTTTCAGAGGCCTGGGGAAAGGTAAGGAAAGCAAGAAGGAATGTTAAAGTCTTTGCAGACAATTGGGAGTCACGACCATTCTGGGCTGAACAGCAGGGAAGGCACAATGCCATCAGCACCCAGAGGCAGCTGGGAATCTCAGAGAGAAGTGACCGCTGCTGGTCATCTGGGACAATCAGTTGTGTTGTATATATTTTACAGTGTCTACTTTGTGGCTTCTTGTGACCTTCTGGATAAGCAAATGGATTTTCTGGGTCCCACTCATTGCATTAATGTGGGTCTCCCAAGGTGGTGTGAGGATGAAATAAGCAAATGCCTGAGAGGTGCTCAGAACAGATCCTAGCACAGAGAAAGTTTCCCTTAAACGTTGGGGGTGGGGGTACTGGGAGCTGCACACCCGAATGACCACACTCGAAGTAGCGTGCACATTCGGAAGGTTTGACTTCTCTTCCTGTGGGATGGCCCAATTGCTTAAGCTCCAGACTCAGCAAACGCAGGATCTGCCCCAGCTGAGCACACTACTCTTCTGATGAAAATTGCAACGGCTGGCGGAGCTTACTTGCCCGGAAGTAAGCTTCTCCTGCCCCACCCACAAGGCGCTGGAAGGAGGAAGGCATAGCAGATCTGCTGTCTGGCTCTACGTTCCCCCAAACGTCCACTCTGCTCCAGCCTCACTGGCCTCCCCTCTGGACCTGTGGGCCTCCCATCCCCTCTCCCGTGAGCTCCACTCCCCTAGCACGGCTGGGGCCCACCTAGTGTGGAGACTCCACCGAAAGCTACTGCCTCCAGGCCTCCTCCCCAGGCCTCCCACCCCAGGCCTTCAGACCCTGGTAACACCTCTGCGCTCTTGGTGTAGCTCTCAACCTTCATTTCTGGAATAAGCAGCTGACCCAATCAACCCCACTGGCGTCTACACCTTGGAGACTGAGTCCTAAGACCTCTGCTGGCCACCGCCTGGAGCCCAGGCCCCGCTCCACGGCTGCGCGCTTTCGGGTAAAAGCCTGGGACGGCGCTTCTGTGGTCTCCTGCCGCCACCTGAACCGGGGACGGCAGCGCCTAGGGAGCCCCAAGACCTCTTACGAGAGCATTTCAACTCTGCTGACAAACCTCAACTACTCCAGGGACTTCGCTGGAAAGAAACGTTCTAGAAAGACCAAGTGGGTAAGTCACAAGAAAGAACTAAGTTACCCTGATGGGATGGCTGAGGGGGCTCTGGGGGGTGGTGGGGAGGCGAGGGCCTGAGGACCTTCCCTGACGCTCTCCTCTCCGCCCTCTCCCACCTGGCTCAGGGCATCTCCCCTCTCCTCCTTCCCGCCCCTTCCCTGCTTCTCTCCAGTTCAGGAGGCCTGGAAGTTTCTGCCTCGCACCCACCCTATGAGACAGTTCTCGCCAACCTGTTCCCCTCAGCCCCGGGCTCAGCCCCTCCTGCCTGCCCCCTCGCAGAATCACCCCTCCACTCTCTGCAGCTGCGAGATGTGGGTAGAGGCCCAGATTAATGTGGTCTGTGTTCTTCCCTGGGGACCCGTGTCCTGAACATTTTGCTCCCAGGCCCGCCCTAGGGGACCCAGATGAAGTCAGTCTGGCTCCTTCAGACAAGGAAATCAGGCTTTGCATTTTGATAGCTGTTGCTGACTTGAACCCCCAAAGAGTAAACAACAAAACTAGCATGTTTTTCTCCATATCCTTTGAAAAGCCAGTATAGGGCTTTATTCTCTAGCAAATTCATTGTAAAAATCCAAGTTCCATTTTTGTAATTTGATTTTTTTAAACATGGTCAAGTGTAACCTTTTTACATGATTTTGCCTAGGGGATTCTGTGGCTTGCTTGTGGTTGCCCTGGGGCAGGATTGTTGATGAGTACCTGCGCCGACTAGCAAGTGCTGTCTGTATCTGACATATGATTAGCTCTGGTCTGCCACATGTTGGAGATAGCTCCCTCTATTTTATGGTTTGTCTTTTGATTTTGAACATGGTAAATTTGTGGACTTTTTTTTTTTTAAACCAGACATTCAATTTTAAAATAGTCAGTTTTATCAGTATTTTCTGGTCTTAGTCTCATGCACAAAAGGCCTTTTCCATCATATGACTTAAGTTTTTGAGAAACTGACTAGGCATTTGTACATGTTAACTCTTGCAGGGGTGTCCAATCTTTTGGCTTCCACAGGACATATTGGAAGAAGAAGAATTGTTTTGGGCCACACATAAAATACACTGACACTAAAGATAGCTGATGAACTTAAAAAAAATCATAAAAATATTATTTTAAAAAATCCTGTAATGTTTTAAGAAACCGAGTTTGTGTTGGGCCACATTCGAAGCCATCCTGGGCCACAGGTTGGACAAGCTTGCTCTAGAGGATGTTCTGAACTAGCAACGGTATGTGTATCACAGGCCAGAAGTATATACAATGTGGTGTGCTTTCCTGGAACTGAACTTATTTTCCATCTAGAGCCCATCTTTGGGCAGTTGGGGAAGAGGGATTTCCTCTTCAGATGGGTACCCTTGGGTACTTGAGACTTTCTCAGTGCATTCTGGTTTCCTCTTGACCCCTTTTCCAGGAGTTGCTCTTGCAGTCTGGGGCCAGGGTGTCTTTGCCTCAAATTTCTGAGTGAGCAATTTGGTCAGTGGTCCACATCTGTCCTGCGGGCATCTCAGTGGGCCCTCCTACCACTGGTCCTCAGCTTCTGTCCCTGCAGGCATCTATGAAACACTAAGCTCCTTTCTTGTCACTGGCTGTCATTGTGTGTCCTTCAGCTCCCTCAAGAGGACCCTCCCTGGGGCTCCTGGCTTCTCCTCCACCCCAGGTCCCCTGCCCATTCTGGAGGAAATAAATGCTGCTTCGGCCTCACAGGCCCTCTGCCCTGACCCTGCCTAAACTTCCATTTCAGAGCATCACACCGCACCTGAGCACCTCTCATGGTCCAGGACCGCAGCCAGAATAAAGAGCGCTGGTGCTCTCTTCCCTTAAACCTGTCCTCCAGCCCGTGTGGCAGAGAGGAGGGGGAGCATCACTGTCAGATCTCCAGGTTCCCCTGTGACTGCATTCTGCCTGGGTAGAGGAGAGGAGATACACCAGACCCACTCCACTCACACAGACATAACTATCAGGGAGCGGTTCTTTAGCACACCCCAGTTGCTCAAGCCAGAAACTTGAGCGTCTGCCTGGTACAGTCCTCTCCTCCTGCTCACATCTGTTTTTCTTCCTTTCCCAGGCCAGGTTTCTTCTGTCTGTGGTCCACCTTCTGATCTAGAGAGGCTCCTGAAATATGAAACTGGTAGAGAAGCTTCTTAAAGGCTCCCTGCCATGCTTGCCCTGAGGGTCCTGGCAGGTGTTCCGGGGCACCATCATGATCTGACTGGTGTCCCTGCCCCCAAGAAGTCCCTCCCTGCCCTCACTTGTACCCTGAAAGGTTTCCCAGTATCTTCATCTGCTCAGCTTTTGACTCCAATGGGCAGCCTCCCTCTAGGATCTGCCAAAAGGACTCTGGAGACACCTGGCTGGTTCCTTTCTCATACAAGCTCCCATTGTTCACCCGGCTGGAGGTTGTGGGTATTGACAGTCAGCTGTGCCTCAGTCTCCTTCATTCCATGCTGTTTCTGACCCCAGCCATCAGGTCCCCGGGGGTCCTGACTGCACCAGCCTCTGCTCCTTGATGCTGGGGTTGGGTGTGTCCTCTCCTGGCCATGGGACCCCTCCACCATCCTTGTCACCTATGTCACCTAAGGCAGTCAAAGCATGTACTGGGCATCAGTTCTTCAGAAACAGCTCCAAATTTCAAGGTGATTCCTCTGGAGACCTTCGTTTTGGGGAAAAACACCTGGTGCTACCTGGTATGCCCTCTCCTTGACGCTAGGTCCTTGATCATCTCTTCAATTCCTTTCTATCATGTCCTCACTGTGTCAGGTGTGGGTGCTGAATACACCATTCAGAACACTCTGAAAATTGGCAGTCAGGCCTTGTGTTCAGACACTGCATCCTTTGAAGGAAATGTTTTGGGAGGTCTTACTTTGTGGGGTGAGCGTCTGTCAGGGATGAAATGCTCCAGGACGACCTTTCTCTGCCCCTTCAGCAGCCCCTGTGCTGGGGTGGACTGCTGTGGATTTCTGGCTTTGCTGTTCCTTCATCAGTCAGCTTGGGGGCTTTGCTGAATCTTAACTCTCCCTCCAGCAGGTCTCCAACAGGGTTGGCCATCAGTACTCTTCAGTCTTTGGTATCTGACTTGCACAGAGGGAGGCATGAGGAACTGAATTCAGAACTTGTTTGGATGTCCCTAGAAAATGCCTCACAAGGCTGCTGTGCACCCCTCCCACTGAAGAGGCCACTCTCCTACTCAGGATGCCCTGCTCCTCATCCTCCCTCCAAGATGCCTTGACCTTGGCTCTTGACCACCTCTAGTTGTTCCCCTCTTCCCCTTGACCTTGGCTCCCCTCACCCCTAGTTGTTCCCCTCTTCCCAGCCCTCCTGAGCTACCTGGTCTCCCTGCCCTCTGACCAGCTATCTGCCTACCCCACAGATACTAGGAGTCCCCTGAGGTGCGTGTGGCCTCAGCTTGCAGAGGAGCACACTTGCCAGACACTTCGGAGCTTTGAAGGGCACAGGCCATCTAAGATGAGCACAGGTGCATCAGAGAAACAAGCAGAGCAGAAGGTCTGCCGTGCCTTCCAGGCCTCCAAGGAAGCCCATGGGACTCTGGCAGCCATGGCCCCTTGGGTGGTTGTGGGCTCTGCCGATGGCTCCTGCACCTGCCTGGGAGCCCAGCCTGTAACTGACCCAGCCCTCTGGCCTGTCATGGGGACTTCCTCTGTCGTCTACTCCTGGATGGGATGTTTTCCACAAGCTTACCCAGCCTTCTGGGCTTACCCTTGGGTGCTGTATGGTGGGTATCTCTGGATGGGGTATCCCCCTCCAGCTGCCTTGGTGCCTTCAGTGTGGCCATATTGGAGGGGCACCTCCAGCTTTGACCCCCTCGTGAGAAGTCTGTACGTGGATGCCTTGGCCCCCAACCTATTTTCTATCCCCATGGGATTCCCACCCAGCTACTCCATGGCCTCTCCCACTCTGGGTGGGGCCATCTCCAGCCGCTGTCCCCAGGTGGGATACCAGACTCCAGACAGCTCAGCCCCCATGGCTGCAGCTGGGGAGCTATCCAGAGGAGCTCCCTACTTGAAGAGATGCCAAGCCCCTCCCTCAGAATGGGCCTCCAGGTTCAGTATTTGGGCACCTTTGCCCCACTGCAGCTCAGAGCTCCGCCCTCTGCCCCCTTCCCCCATTGAAGATTCTCAGTCAGACCCCGGCTGCCCCAGCTCCTCCTCCCCCCGCTCACCCTGCAGGGCTCGCCGCCGCCTCTTTGAGTGCTGATCAGCCCTCCAGACCCACCTAACAATCAGAGACAAGTCTGGGTGGACTTTTAGTTTTTGGAAGAGTCTCAGAAGTGAGTTGTTTGCTATTCTTCAGTACAGAGCACACCTCCTGGACTCATGCAAGGCCCCTCTATTTGGTCTTTCTCTTCACTTTCTTGTTTTTCTGTTTGCCCTTCAACCCTGATACTGGCACCTTTTCTCCTCCCCAGACTGTCCTGGGCCAGCCCTCTGGTAGATTTGCTGTAAGTCCTCAAACATGCATGCATGCAACCTTGTAAAATGAGCATATTTAAGCTCAACCCACCGTGCAGAGGTGCTCAGTTAGAATAAGCCTCCAGGTTCAGTATTTGGGCACTGGTGCCACCCGCCAGCCCAGGACTCTCTCTGGCCCCTCCTCAGCAAAGACCCTCAGCAGGACCCCCGCATCCCTGGCCACACTGCGGGGCCTGCCGCTGTCTCTTCCAGCATTGGTCTGTCCTCCAGGGAACCACACACTTAGGCACTTTAGAACCCATGGAATCCAGTGAGCACTAGCTGTAGGCTCTGCCTAGAGGCTTCCAAAACCTGTTTGTTCCAGTATACATGGAGTAGGAAATGCTGACTTGTTCAGAGTGCTGGTGCCCTTGGGTCCTTGTGGGTGTGCTCTTTTCACTCCTCACCCCCTCAGCACCCTCTGGAGTAATGCACACACCAGTAAGATGTACGGTACATGCTTTTAAAATTTTTAAATAAATGATACTGTGCTATAAATGTTGTTTTCAATTTTTCATTCATTAGTTTAAGACCTAGCCGTATCTGCATATATGTGTAGTGTATTTGGAGTTTGTTTTCAAATTTATTAGCATGTTTTTCATACTATTATTTCTTACTATTGTTATGGGCTGTATTCCATTTTTCTTTACAATTTTGTGTTTGAGGTTTACAACGTGATGTTATGGGATACGTACAGATAGTAAAATGGTTACCATAGTGAAGCAGACTAACATCTGTCATCTCACAGTTACATTTTTTGGCGACAAGAGGAGCTAAAGTACACTTATTTGACAAAAACCCCTAGTACAATGCCATTTCATTAACTTTATTCCTCATGCTGTACATTAGAGCTGTAGGCTTGCTCAGCCTACCTATACTTGGTATCCTTTGACTTACATATCCCAGTTTCCCCACTCCCAGCCCATGGGAACCACTGCTCCATTCTCTATCTCTGTATTTTAGCTCTTTGTTCTCTTTTAATAGTCCACATATAAGGGAAACTGTGCAATATTTTTTTTCTGTGTCTTCATTTATTTCAGCATGCCCCATGCATGTTATGGCAAATGGCACAATCTCCTTTTTAAAGGCTAAATAATATTCTACATCCATTATATATATGGCTATAATCATATTTATCCATTCATCCATTGATAGGCATTTGGGTTGTTTCCTTATCTTGGCTATTGTAAATAATTCTGCAGTGAACATGAGAGTACAGGTATCTTTATGAGGTGGTGATTTCATCTTTTTTGGGTACATTTCCAGAAGAAGCATTGCTGGATCATGTAGTACTATTTTTATTTTGTTCAGGGACTTCTATATTGTTCTCTATAATGGCTGTACTCCTTTTCTTTTCAAATAGTGTACATATTAAAATTTTCCCATGGATTTTTCTGTTTTATTAGTATCTATTTTTGACTCATTGATTCTGTGTCTTGAAGTATCTTCTTCTTGTGAGCTTATTATTTCTTTTGTAACTTCTTAAAGTTGATGACAGCCAGTTCATTTTTAGGCTTCTTTTCTGTTACAAATTTTTAAGGCTATAAAATTCCCTCTAAGTATACCACTCTAAAATATATCCTGCAGTTATATGATATTCTTATTTGTATATCTTTTTGAACAATCACTGTTAAGGAAAATCAGGTAAATTTTATTAAAGGCTGACAAACCAAAATTGTTTGTAGTTTAAAATGCCTCATAAAGAATTTATATAATAGTCCAATTACTATTCTAGTTATTGCTGTTATAATGGACTAATGAGAATTAATGTTTATATGATATTGGTAGAGAATTAGTATGGAAGTTATGCACTTATAATATTAATATACCAATAATTTGTACACTACCCAAAAAACTATAGCTTCATCCAGAAGCACTTTGAACAAAACTTGAATCTGTTGATGGCAATGATTGTATATCTATTGCAGATCTTATGCTGATGGTGATAGAGAAATCATCAAAAATACGTTGTGAAGGGAATAGAAAGATTGCCAAGTTTCTTGGTTTACTTTTGGAATTTGAAATAATTGATCTGTTAGAAGGTTGAATTAACCTTAAATCCACTGCTGTCTCTGGGACATGACAGCCTAGGGAAACGCAGGAAAACCCAGCCTGAGATAAGACATCTGTGTAAGTTCCTGGAGGCTGTGCAGAGGGGCAGGGCTGCAGGTCTCTGAGACCCTCAGCTGGGAAGGAGAGAGGAAGCTCTTCAGATTAGCACCAGGGAATTGATTTCTCCAGCCTGGAGCTCACCCCTTCAGCTCTCTGTAGTTTTCTCCTAGGCTGTGTGTTTTGCATGATGCCTTCTATAGAGTGGTGGTTTCTCAAGATGGTTCTGTTTCTGCAAGTGCCTTTTACACAGCCTGAGGTTTCCTTATGTACTTCGTGTTCTTAGATGGGGACAGCAAAGCTTGTGCCAGATGCTTTTCCCTTTTTACACTGATTGCAAAGGACTGAGCAAACATAGGAGACTGTCAATGACAGATGCACACACGGCTGGCTCCCCAGGGGCTGTGGAGGATGGGGGCAGCCCGGCTTGCTGGGCTGCTCGACCACTGCTTCCCACAGTGTCCCAAAAACACTTGGGTGGCCCCTTGGTGCTGCTAATGTCTACCACAGGCTGAGCTCCCCCACACCCAACAAGGAACAGAGAGCCCCCAAAGCCACTTGCTAACTGGGGCAGAGCCTGCGAGAGCTGCTTGCAGGGAGCTGGGACGATGTGTGGGGCTGCTCCCTCTCGTAATCTGTTTTTACATTTTCTTCATGGCTTTCCTGAAGTATACAGCAGTCCCTCCTTATCCTCAGTTCTGCTTTCTGAGGTCTCAGTTACCCACAGTCAACTTTGTTCTGAAAATATTAACTAGAACCCCCAGAAATCAGCAATTTCTAAGTCTTAAAGGGGGCACCATTCTATGTAGTGTAATCAGATCTCTGTCCTGCCCTGAAAATGGAGCCTGCCTTGTCCAGAGTTCCACACTGGCTTCATCACCTGCCTGTTAGTCACTCAGTCCTCTTAGTTATCAGGTCCACAAAGGTGGTAGCTCCCTTTGTGTTCAAGGAGCCCTTGTTATACCTAATGACGGCCCCAAGGTGCCAAAGGAGTGCTGCCGACAATTCACATAGGCCAAAGAGAAACTATAAAGTGTGTCCTTTAAGTAAAAAGGTGAAAGTTCTTCACTTAATAAGGAAAGAAAAAAAAATAGTATGCTGAGGTTGCTGAGATCTGTAGTATAAGATGCTGAGAGACAGACAGGGAGACCACATTCACATAACTTTATTACACCATATAGTTTTATTATTGATCTTACTGTGCCTAATTTATGAATTAAACTGTATCATAGTTATGTATAGGAAAAAGTGTATATAGGGTTCAGCACTATCTGTGGCTTCAGGCATCCACTGGGGGTCTTGGAACATACCTGCCTCAGATAAGGGGGAACTACTGTAATTGCATTTCCACATTTTTATTTGAAGAATTTTAAGGAGTAATAGAACACCCATATACCCCCCATCTCTATACAATTGTTAATACTTTACAACATTTATTTAATCTCTTAGTCTTTATTCACACAAACAAATACACTTACAAATAGTATCATGCATATGGATTATCCATTTATAGGGCTGCCTATCAATTTGTCAAACCATTTGAAAGTAAATCACAGATGTCTGACACTTCCTTATGCACCTCTAAAAAATAAGAGCATTCTCCTACACTACCACTTATTATCACACCTGACAAGATTAATAATTCTCTAATGTCTGTTATTCAGAACATATTCAAATATTCCCAGTTGCCCCAACAATGTACGATGTTTGATAGCTTTTTTTTTTTTTAAACCTAGGATAGATCACATAGCCATTTGTAGATCCTATTTTGTGGAGTGACTATCCCAGATGCTTTATTCCTTAGGTTGGTTGTGGGGTAAGTGGTGTGTGTGCACTTATTCTATACATGTATGTTTTGTCAGATACGAGTATTGCTTATGGCTTTTTACTTTTTAAATGGTACCTGCTGATCAATAGAAGTTCTAAATTTTATGGATATCCAATTTTTATTAATATTTTTCTCTTTGGAGTAGTGCTTCGGAAGGCCTAATAGCTTTGTCTACCCCAAGGTCATGGACATAGTTTTATATTTTTTTCTTGAAGGTTTATTGTGTTACCTTTTACTTCAAATTAGTTTTTGAAATGTGTTGTCTCTTGGCTTTGATCTATTTCAGTACCTTTTCCCATGTACTTAAAAATTCTGCAATTTAGGGGTATAATATTCCGTACATGTCATTTAGGTGAAATTGGATAATTATTTTGTTCAAATGTATATTGCTTTTTTATCTTCTTGTTTCATCAGTTATTGAGAGTTAAAATCTCCAACTCTGATTGTGACTTATTCTATTTCTCCTTCTAGTTCTGTTGAGTTTTGCTTTATATTTTTTAAGTTATGTTATTAGGTGTCTAACAAATTTGGGACAAAGGATGATTTGTCTTTTTTTATAAGATGTCCCACTTGACATCTTTCACTGCTTCTAATGTTAACATTAGTTTTGTGAAGGTGATAATATATTCATTTTACTTTTCCTTTTCAGGCTAGTCAAATGAAGCAGTGAGGGTGGAGAAAGAACAAAGAAATCTGTAACTGCCTGTGATCCATTAGTTATAACATCACTGCTCACGTACTTTTGGTTGGTGCTTGCCTTACTTTCAATCACTTTGTGTTCTTACCTGTCTTATAAACAGCAGGTTGATGGTTTGGTTTTTTCAATCCAGTCTGACAGTCTCTGTCTTTTAACTGGATTGTTTACACCATTCATATTTAACAGAATTACTGCTATCATTGACCTAAGTTTACCATCTCACTATTTGTTTTCTCTTTGTTCCCTCTGCTCTTTGTTCCTTTATTTCTCCTTTCCTGCCATCTTTCATAAAATTCAAAGTATTTTTTAATTAGTCCATTGTATCTCCTCTATTACTATTTAGACATTCATGTATTATTCTTTTGGTGGTTGCTCTAGATTAAAATAGTACCCTTGATGTGTTACAGCCTTCTTTGTATTCCACCACTTTCCAAATCATGCATGAGCCTTCCAACAGCTTTATTTAACTCCATTATTCCCTCTGCTTTTGCCCTATAATAATGCCTTACTTCTATTTAAGTTGGAAGCTTCACAAGATACTATTGTTTGAGCCTTATAGCCATTACTGTTATACAGTTACTCGTCTATTTCCCTTTGCAGCACTCGTTATTTCCTCCCCAAATCTCCATGTCTCTGCCTGGAATCATTTTCTTTCAGCCTGAAGAACTACTTCCATGCTTTGAATCACGAGGAATTGTTTCAGCTTGTTTGACTGGAAACATCTTAATTGTGCCTCCTATTTATTTTAAAGGATATTTTTGCTGACTCTTTTTCCTAGGTCAGCAGAGTTTCCTGAAAGTATCATTTCATTTTTTTTTTCCTTGTGGGATTCTAAGTCACAAAGACTTAAACACTTTGGACAAC